ATTCTATACATTTTTTAAAAATTTGATACAGAGGCCCACTTTTCTTCCCCGCTTACACAACTTAAAAAACAAACAAGCCCTCTTCCCTGTAATTAATGCCCAGAGTCAAGTAAAACAAATCCATTCATTAGCTGTGTTCAAAAGTGTCTCTGTCTGATCTCTGAGTCCGCCATCTCTCTGTGGGGCTGACCAGCCCCTCAACCCCAGCCCAGCTCCATGCTTTATCATTGGTCCTCTGTAGTGATGTGGCAATATGTTGACGAGAGTTCTTAAGTCCTTCGAAATCATTTTCAATGATAACAGTAGCCAGCATTTATATGCTCTTTGAGGTTTTTGTTTACTTTTGCTATGTGTAGTTACTGTATAGTTATATACTGTGTATAGTTACTAAACAATGTATAGTTATAGTATATTTATCGTGTTATAGTTATTGTACAAACTGCTTCCCTGGTTATTCTCATGTCCCTCTGCATCCAGATGAGTTTTCCCAGGTTTCTCTGAATCCATCCAATTCATCATGCCTTATGGCACAATAATATTCTGTTACGTTCATAGACTGTCATTTGTCCAAACACCTCCCAGGTAATGGCACCTGCCTTCGCTCCCGTGCTTCCTTTCCCCCTTCATTTCATCTCTCAGAGGTATGAGCCCAGCCATGCCCATCAAGGAGAGTTCAGTTTTGTGACTTTGGGGACAGAATTCCAAATCGTTTTCCAGAATGGCAGACCCCATTCACAGCTTTCCCAACAAGCTCCTTCCTCCGTTCCCCCAGCAGTTTCCCTTTTCATTGTGTCTGCTGAGCTGTGGGCAGCAGAACCTCAAGAGTTATTTCAGTTTGTGGTTCCATTTATTATTAGTCATTGGGGCACTTTTTTCATACAGCTGTTAAGAGCTTGTATTTCTTTTTTTGAAGAGCTGCCTGTTCGTATTCTTTGACCATTTATCCATTGGGGAATGGCTCTTGTTCTTATATACTCCTTACATATTTTAGATGTCAGACCCTTATTAGAGATAATTGTTGCAATTATGCTGCAAAATGCTTCCTAGTCCACTGTCCTTCTTCTAATTTTAACTGCATTGATTTTGTTTGTGCAGAAGCTCTTTAAGTAAGTAATTAACACCGTCAGCTGCATCTTCTGTGATCTTCCTTGGTAGTGAACTCTCCCTTACCCATCGTTGTGAAAAGCATCTCCTACTTTGCTGCTCTATTTAAAATAATAACAATAACAACAACAACAATAATAATAATAATGTGACTTTCTATATTCAGGGTGAATATCCATTTGGAGCTTATTGTAATATGGTTATCCCTTCCACATCGTGGGGGTTCGGGGTGCAGCACCCCTGTGATCTGGAAAATCTGAGTAAAGTCTTTTGACCCTCCCTCTGTGTCAGAGAAGAAATCTGAATGTTTTTTTTCTTTTATGGGGTCTTCACAGTATTAAAAGATAAAATATGTTGGTATTATATAAGACTGTACTTGTATTTTATGCATTTCTGAGTTTGTAAACTTTTTCTGTGCCGTCTGCTGGTCTTCATGTGTAATCTGGAGCTTCCGCAAAACTCTCCCAAAATTCCCATTGAATTTCTTATGCCGACTGACAATATATTGAAACCGTGATGGTGAAAGTCATGATGTGGAAGGGGTAACTGTCGATGGTATGAGATGCTCGTCTAAACCAGGGGTTCTTAACCTGGGATCCATGGACCCCTAGGAGATCCTTGGATAGATTTGGGAAATCTATGAACTTAGATGGGGAAAAAAATTACATCTTTATTTCACTATAATCGGCTTCCTTTTTAATCCTCTGTAGTTTATTTTTTGCATTTAAGAACCTGAATCTGAGAAGGGGTCCATAGGCTTCACCAGACCACTGCCAGAGGGGCCCATGATACAAAAATGGTGAAGGACTCCCCTGGCCTAAACCTCGTTTCTGACAGACAGCTGTTGGGTTTTCCCAGCCATTTTTGTCATGTGACCCCAGGAGTTTTAATACTCTCTGGAAGCCAGTAGCATGCACAGCCTGCCCCATCCATGCACCACTTGTCCCTGCTTCCTGACCCCACTCATTTTCAGCCCTACTTGGCTTTGACGAAAGATCTCATGATACTTATTGATTGTAATTCAGTTAAGAAAATATTGTCCACATAACACCTAAAAACTTCTTAAGGTCCGTGGGACAGGGAGCAGTGGAAGCGATGGCCTTTGGGGGCCAGGCCAGGCTCTCTCAAACTTTACAAAAAAGGAGAGAATACACTTCACAGGAATGTCGTTTGCACCTTTCCTGGGTTAAGTTAAATGCTGCTTAGGTTTCTTTGTTTACCTTCTCTAGTGAGTTTCTCTTTCCTCTCCAACTGCTATCGGATCTCTGAGGGCAGGGCTCGTGCCTTCTGATGCTTTGTCTCCATCCCTCACCTCTCCATTAGACTGTAAGCTTCCTGAGGGCAAGGCTCAGGCCTTCTACTGCTTTGTCTCCATCCCCCACTTTGGCATTAGACTTGAAAGCAGGGTCTGTCTTTTGCCGCTTTTTGTATCCCAGGGCTTAGCACAGTGCCTTCCACTTAGTACCTGCTTAATAAATGTTGATTGATTCTCCTCTCCCAGTGCTAGTAGGAATAGGCACTCAGTTAGGATATATGGGACAAATGAATGAACAGTCAGCCTTCCTCAGTCCACTGAAGAAAGACTTCAACCTTCAGACAGGAACCTTCCTCAGCGCCACCCCAACCCACACTTCCCTGCTGCCTCCTCTCTGGACCTCTCCAAACCAGCCAGTTTGGATTCCTTTTCCTCCCCTCCCCCCACGCCCTCCCATCCAGCTTGATCCAGCTCCCAGGGTCTTTGTCCGGCCTTCCTGGCTCTGTACACTCATCCTGTTCTTCCATCCCCAGGCTCCATTCTCTTCTCCCCGGCCCCATTCCTCACCCCATGGCAAACACACCGGGGAGCCTGATGGTGCCCCGGGTGCCAACCAGGACAGCTTGGCTGCCCTGCCCTCCTTCCCCAGGAATCCTGGGTCATCAGAGTCTTGCCCTTTGGAACCAAACAGAGCGAGGCCAGCGCCTCACCTGGCTGCTCACCAAACATTTAAAGAGCTTCATGTCCACCCGCCTTGGCTTTCCTGCAGGCCCACAGCCTCTCCCTTCTGTCTTCTCACTTTAATCATTAGTTATCTAATTATTTTTGGAAATTATTTTAGGTCATTTAAATATTTTTTAATTATTTTAAAGTTCATTTTCAGTAATTTAATTATTAATTACTTAATTGTTTTTTTAGGTAGCCCTGCTCTGAACACTTAGCACCTTTTCAATGTCCTTCCTAAAAGGTGCCTCCAGAACTGAATAGGAGAGAGCAGGAAGGATGCTGGAGCTGGTATTGGAGGACTTGGGTTCAAATTCTGGCTCTACTGTTTTCTTATTATTGTCTTAATATTATTATTATCTCACAATATAATTATAACCTTGGCTCTGTCACTGAACTCACTGCCTCAGTTTCCTATGTCTGTAAAATGGAGATCATAATAGCACCTCCTTCCTAGGGTTGTTGTGAGGATCAAATGAGCTAATATTACAAAGCACTTAGCACAGCGCCAGACACCTAGTAAGCTCTATATAAATGTTAGTTACTATTGTTATTATTGATACACTTTTGTAACATAGTAGTAATGTAATTGCATTATATATTATTACATACAATTATAACAAATACAACATAGAAATATAATAAATATGTAATTGTATGTAATAATTATGTGTTATATAGTATTATAATAATAGCATTTATATCATTAAGGTTGGCAAAGTACCTTACATTTATTATCTCATTTGACCCTAACAATAACCCTGGGCAATAGGTGCTGCTATTATCCCCATTTTACAGATGAGGAAACTGAGGCACAAGAGACCGAGTGCCCTCATTGCCTAACTGATCACTGGCAGATTCAGGGTCAGCGGGCAAGGGAGACTGCCTCTTGTTTATAGAGCAATCCCATGTTTTTACTGTGAACACAGATCTCTCACCCACTGTAGAAATGGCCACACGGTGTGGAGACTTGGCCTCTTCAGAAGAGCTCACCCTCGTCCACTGGCCTGGCCTAAGGCATCCTTTATTCCTTGGAGGACACCGAGTTCTCTGAATGCTTCCAGTGGGCTTTGATGCGCCATTAAAATAGCGCCAGGGAATGACCGTGCCATGAGCATGCTTCAGATGCTGGTTCGTTCCTGAGAAGGGGCTGGTCTTTGGTGGTACAGACAGTGCAGGTTCGATCCCTATCCCTGCATCACACAGGCCCAAAGCTGGAGGAGCAGAGACGTGAGGCTTTATGCATTGTGGGAAGATCTCTTTTGGGGGAAGAGCTGTGTATAGGGCACTGGAAAGATTTCTGAATTTAGAATAAGAAGGCCAAGGTTTAAATCCTGTGTGACCTTGGCAAACAGTGGATCCACGTGAGTCCTTAAGCACCCTGGGCTGAGGACTGGGGGTCCTAAGAAAGACAAAATGCCCTGCCCTCTAGGGGCTTATGTTCTAGTAGGGGAGAGAGTAGTCATATCGATAAGGATGTCTAAGATGTGTAATCTGCAAATGAAGGCCAAGTCGCTTAGGACTCAGTTTCTTCACACAGACTCTTTCTTATCGTACATAAAATGAAATACAAGGTATGATAAAGGGAGCCAGTTATAATGGAATCCTATCAAAATGCTCACGGACCCATCTTAAGAGCTCCTGCCTCGGCTGACATCTAAGAGTCAGAAGGAAGACGGCAGGTTTTCTCCCATGACCTGAAACATGAGGAACCTACAAGAAGGGCATCTTTCCAGCAGAGGGCCTGGGCTGGAAGGGAAGGGAAGCGGGGGGGGGGGGGGGGGTTAGCTGGCCCTCCCTGGCTGCCCCAGCGCCGCGGGAGCCAGCACACGGGATTCCTGGGCCCTTCCTCCATTCAAGGCAGCTCTGTTGAACCAGTGGCCTTGAAAAACCGTCCCTCTTCTTGTATCTTTTACAGAGCAATGGGGACGAGATGGACACAGCCTGGTCTCTGGAAGACATCTTCCATTTGATGGCGCCTCCAATGGAGAGTTCCCTGGAGGTAAATGGGGGCCACTTGGCTGTTGAGGTTTAAGGGCATGGGTCAGCCTTGACCATGCTAGCCTTGCCAAGCTCCCAAGGGTAGTGGGCAGGGCTGTGGGGGGAGGAGGTGCCCTACCCAGGTCTGTCACTTAAGACCTTTGTGACCCTGGGCAAATCGCCTCGGTTTCCTTCTCTATCAAATGAGAAGGTCACACTCAATGGGCCCTTCCAGCCCCATCTCTGTGACCCCACGACCCAAGTTCAAACCCTGGCCCTACGACTCATGTAACTGTGAGCACATCACCACCCCAGGAGCCTCAGTTTCCTCATCTGTAGCGAATGGGCTGCCAGCTCTAAAACCTAGAAGTCCGTTCATCCCTGGGAGCTGACATTTGTGGGACGATTTTTACAAAGCATTGGAGGTCGATTAGCTCCCATCACTCTCCTGGTGAAGCAGGTATGAGGGGTAGGGCTTTTTTCCATTTTAAAGATGAGGAGACTGAGGGTCAGAGGGGTTGGTCACAGACCTAGCAGCAGGTTCAGGACCCAGGACTGCCCAGGCCCACTGGGCCTTTCTCAGAGGGCCTGGAGGTGTTAGTGCTGTGTGGGGAGCGGGCAGCGGGAGGTCAGAGTCGGGACAGCTGCAGCCAGGAGCTGCCAGGGCCAGTCCCCAGCTACTCTTCAGGGGAGAGATGGCAGGATTTTCTCTCATTACCTGAGCTGCAGGTAAGGAGACAAGTGAATAAAATCCCCCTGAGTTACCTTGTAGAATCCCAGAGTTGGAAGGGATCCCAGAGCTCATCTATTCCAGCCCCAACCCCCACAAAAAACAATATATGAAGTCCCTTCTATAGCACTCTGACAAGTGGTCACAGAACCTCTGCTTGAATACCTGGGGTGATGAGGAGCTCACCACCTCACAGGGTAGTCTCGTCCATATCTGTACCTCTCTGGTTGTGAAGTTCTAATTTACATTGGTCGTAATTCTACCCTTCTGTAATTTCTAGCCCCTGGTCCTTGTGCCAGATATAACCTTTCAGCCCTTTCCATATAATCATAATAGATTAGATATAGGTGTCTCTTTAAGGTTTGCAAAGCACTATACAAATATTTGATCTTCACAATGACCCTCTGAGGTAGGTGCTATTATCACCCCATTTTACAGATGAGCAGACTAAGGCTGAGAGGTTTCTTACTTGTCTGTGGTGAGCCAGCTGTTACAACTCTGAGGCAGGATTCAAATGCTAAGTCCAGTGCGCTGCCCACTACCCCGTCCGGCTGCCTCTGGATGAAGAGAACCCCTGTGCTTCTCATACTCACACACGCTCATTCACATACTCGCACACATATTCACTCACGCTCGTACACTTACATTCTCATACACATACACAATTCACTCCTGTGCACTCTTCCACACCCTTTTCTCACACACTCTACCACACTCACATTCACATACACACACTCATACTCACAGTTAAACTTACACACTCACATACACTTGCGAGCGTGCGCGCACACACACACACATGCACACACGCGCACACACGCTCAGATTTCCTCCAGGCTAACCCTCTTCTTCCTCCAGCTGTTGCCACCCTCCATGTGTCCTGCCTCAGTCCCCTGTCCACATGCCCCTTAAAATGTTACTATTACACTCTCTCCAATGTTGTCCCACCATTTCTTGGGCTCCTCACGAGTCAAATCCCGTTGAAGCCTCGGTTACCCGGGCCATGTCTCTACATTACAGCCAGAAGGGACCTTGAGGTCATTGAGTTCAACCCCCTCATTTTGCAGGGGAGGAAACCGAGGCCCGGAAAAATGAAGGGACTTGACTAAGGTTGGTAAATCCGAGGGTTTCTAGCCCTCAAGCTCGGACTGCGGTCCAAGGTTCTAAACCTTTTCTGGGTCGTGGACCACTCCCAGCCCCCACCCTGGCAGTCTGGTGAAACCAAAGGACCCCTCCTCAGAGTAATGCTTTTAAGTACCTAAGATACATAGGATTACAAAGGAAACCAATGATGTTAAAATATAGGATGTGGAAACAGAAACTGAGAGGTTAAGTGACTCAGCTATAGTCACACAGCTAGACTTGTAACAGCAAGCTGGTTAGGAACCCAAGCCTGCTCTGCTATGCGCACATTCAGTGCGCTGTTTATTCTCATACCGACAATTGCATGGCTGTGACGGTACCGCCATGCCTGCCTGGCTCATGTGTCCCATGCAGTGACAGTCAAGTGACACTGGGATTCAGTTCCCCTTTCCTAGCCTATTTCCTTTCTTAAAAAAAACCAACAACTTATACATCACCTACATTGTCCCCTGGGTCCTCCCCCCCACTCTCTGAGCCATCCCATAAAACAAAAAGGAAAAGTAAAAAACCCTGAAAAACCGAGGAGGACAGTGCAAAACAATCTGACGGTATGTGCTGTGTTCCACACCCCTGGACCCTCCCCCCTCCCCCCCACCTCCTCAAAGGATGCTGCCTGACTGGATTTTCAGCTCAAACAGGGTATCAAGGACTAGGCCCTAGAATCCCTCATTCGTCTTAACAATTTTCTCTTCCTACCCCCAGCCCATCCTTACTAAAAACGGAGTCACTCAGAGTCATACCGCAATCGGTGGGAAAGTGATATCTATTTATCCTAACATTTTTATGTTTATGGGGCAACTAGGGGTCTGGACCTAGAGTCATAAGTACTGAGTTCAAATTTGACCTCAGATATTTATTAGTTGTGTGATCCTGGAAAAATCACTTAACCCTGTTTGCCTCAGTTTCCTCATTTATAAAATGGAGATACTAACAGGTCCTACCTCCCAGACTTGTTATGAGGATCAAATAACATAATAATCAAATAACAAACCAATCAAGTAAGATATTTTTAAAGCACTTAGCATAGGGCCTGGAGCATAGTTGGCTTCATAAATGTTGCTACTGTTATCCCTTCAGTAAGATTTTTCTGTGAATCAAGGAGCTTAAAAGGGAGAAAAAAATTATTCATTAAAGGATAGAAAAGCGGGAGGAGGATTTCCTTAAAAGTTTCTCCTTGTAGGCCTAACTACCTTTGACCCAGGAGAAGGAGGCAGAGGCCCTCTTTGCCGGCTCCTTCTCTCTTCCTGTAGGGCTGGGCAGGTGGAGAGGGGAAGCCTGGGGCCCAGGCCAGCATAGAAGCCTCACCTGCCCATGCCCGGCCTCGGGTCAGGAGCAGGAAATGGGGAGGATCTCCTGAAAGTGGCAGAGAGACTGTGCTTTGGAGAAAATGCATAGTAGGGGAAAGCCTCCATCAAACACCTACTGTGTGCCAGGCAGAATATGAATGAAGCAAAAACCGTCTCTGCCGCATCTAATGAACGGGGGGAGAGAACATGCAAACCACAGATGGGGACCAGCAAAGGCTGCTGGCAGAAGGGGAGATTTTGACTGGAACGTGAGGGAAGTGAAGGGGGACAGAGACAGGAGGGAGAGCATTCCAGTCATGGGGAGCAGCCAGTGAAAAGAGCCAGGAGATGGGCAGCAGCATCGCTGTGTAGAAGACTGGAAAGAGAGGAAGAGGCTGGGCCTGATGGTTTGAGAGTATGGGGGAGCCCACTGGACTTCTTTTGGGGGGGCCTGTGCTTCAGGAAGGTCACAGATGGCCTTGAGTAGGGAAGGTCTTGAGGCAGGCAGCCCCCACTCCATCCCCAAGGTTATAGCAGTAGGCCAGGGGAGGTGGTGAGGGTCTGCCCCAGCTGGGGGCGGGGGCTGTGAGTGGAGCAAGAGATGTCCTCAAAAAGTGTCACAAAAGGAGAAACAAGGCGTAATTGAATGCGTGGGGTGAGTGCAGGGGCAGGGCCAAAGGTGCCGTCCAGCTGTGATCCCGGAACCCTGGGAGGAAGGAAAAATGGGAGAGTTTTGAGGAAAAGAGCATGGCTTCTGTTGTAGACACGATGAGTTTGGGAGCCCCAGGTCGAGCTATCCAAGGATGAGACACTAGGCAGCGTTCAGGAGAGAGGTCAGGGCTGGATATGTAGGCATGCTCATCGGACCCCTGGGGCAGTAGAAGAAGCAGCAGAATCAGCTTCCATGTGAGGGCCTGGGTCCAAGCCCCAGCTCGGCCCTTTCCGTACCCAGTGTGGCAACATTCCCTCCCCTGCCCGGGCCTCAGTTTCCTCATCCATTACGAGGGCACCAAATTCATTGCTTGCCGTGGTCCCTCGAGTGTCCAGGCCCACAGTCACCCACACTCACACGGACTGGGGAAGCAGAGTCTTTGGAATGGGCGGTCACGTGACCGTGACACCCGCCAGGGCAGATGTGGGCCCCAGACCAGGGTATGAGAGGAGTGTTTAACCTATGTAAGGGAATTCCGTTTTGAGCAACAGCCCTTGAAGTGCAAACAGTTAATGGTCTAAGTCCAAGGATTCTGATGGGCCCCTAAAAGCAGCTCAGGCTGCAAGGACGGGGAGTTTGTTTTATTTTTTAGGACATACTGTTAGTTTTTATAACTCAGAGTTTTAACCAATTTAGTTTAGAGGTGTGGCCAAGTGAGGCAGCATGTGGGTGGGGTGTGTATGCATGTTTGTATGTGTGCGCATGTGGTATGTATATTATATGACTTTGCATGTGTGCACACGTCATGTGTTTTGTATAGTTTTGTATGTGTGTGGTATGTGTATGTGTGCATGTTGTATGTGTCTTGTGGTGTGTGTATGTGTAAGTGTGTGCGTATGGTATGTTAGTGTGGTATGTGTATTATGTGTGTGATGTGTATATTATGTGTGCGCATGTGGTTTGTGTATTATGTGTGTGGCATGTGTATTGTGTGTGTGTGTGTGCTATGTGTGTGGCATGTATATTATGCATCTGTGTGCATGTGGTATGTGTATTATGTGTGTGCATGTGCTATGTGTAGTATGTATATTATGTGTGGGTGGTATGTGCATGTGGAATGTGTATTGTGTGTGCATGTGTGTGGTATGTGTATTAGGGGTGTGTGTGCATGTGTTATGTATATTATGTGTGTGTGTGTGTGCGCGCGTGTG